TTCAATATAAGACATTAACATAGGCCCATATGTAAATACATAGAAAAAGACATTCATTGCTTCCCAATTCAGACCACAATATCTCCTGTGATCACAGTTTAGAGATTTTTCTTTTCTTTAAAAATAACAATAATGGCTGAATTTGTAAATTTTAGAAATCAGCATTTCAGTGCTATTATAAAAATAACCTGACACTGCATTCCAAAAGAACTCAACTGTCATATCACAAATTAGTCTATTCTCCAGTGTCAATCAATATTGCATGCCTTGCTGAAGCAAACCAAAAGCTTAAAGTTAGCAGTTTTCCAAACAAAGGCATACACGATGCAGATGCTATTTTACAAACTGAAAGATTGGCATCTGGATGACTGCAAATACACTTCAGGAACTTTCTTCAGCTTATGCTGCTCAAAATCTAGGCAAGTGTCAATCCGAGTATAAATGAACATGTCAGCCAGTGCAATGGAAACAAGACAAACAACATTTGCTTCTTGAAAAGGGTGACTACACACTTGACTGAAACAGGAACTGACTCTGGTCACTGTACAACACTTCCTTCACTTAGAAGAATTTAATAAAAGTGTTGAACTTGTGACAACAACCTCACAAGTTACAGACAACCTTTTTAACCTCTGTCTCTTTGTATTTGCGTAACGGGTGCATCAGAAAAAAACACGATTCAGAAGAAGCACTCCAACATGGCCATTATTTAGTAATGACTTCATGTATAAGAGAACAAACAGAGTGAGTGGATGTCTCAATAAACCAGAGATAGGTTGCTGTAACTTTCCAGATATTTTCAACCTTCAACTTCCATGAGTCTTAATTATTCTAGGTTATGGTGAGCAATGATGGTAGCTGCAGTCCAAGGCATATAGAGAGCCACAGTTGCCTACCTTTGGTATAAACTAAAATGTTGTGGAATATAGTATCTGCAGGATCCCTATGGATACCTGAAACTGTGGATAATGGCAAACCTTGTATTTTTCACTATAGTTGAGTGTGGGTAAGTAAAACCTTGGATATCAAATCTATGTCTAAAGAGATCACACTGCAGTGAAAAACATTTACTTTACTTACATTCCTAGCGAATTCTTGGTGACATAGGGCCCATCTACACAGTGCCTAAAATATAGGATTTCCCATGTTAAAAGGAGGTAGCTACATGACTATAATAGTGCTAAATGCATGCTGCAACAGCCAAAAAACATGGGATTAAAAATTCCTCTTTTACGCCGATTCTGGCCATATTAGATCACTGTATATCCCTGCACTCACCAAAAATATGTGATTTCCTTCCCTCCCCCCATGGAGACTGCTCCAACACATGTTCACTTTTTAAAAGCCCAAAACAGCTGATAGAGCTGTGAAACGGACACACAGCTGATTTAAAGGAGGCATGAAGTGAGAGCAATTGGATCTCTCTGAAACTCTTTTAAAACTGAATAATATTAAACAGAGCTTGAATAAACAATTAGGGGAAGGTAGAAATCTGGCAGAAGATTTTTTTAAAAAAAATTCACTGCATTATGTGCTGAACCTCATATGCACATAAGCGAATCTGTTTATATTTATATTAAGATGTATGCATGTGCACATATACGGTTCATCGTATAATGCAGTGATTTTTTTGAAAAAAAACCACAGGATGTCCCCCATCCATCCTCCATCTTGTTCGGAGACAGAAGGGGCCCGGGGAAGAAATCCTGGAACCTACAGGTCTGTGTGGGGATCTGTTCTTGGGTCCTGGGTTTTTGTGTCCTCCCTCTTCAACCCGCATTTTTGTGCTGTCTGGAATCATCCATACATGCAGCTACTCAATATTTTGATCACATCCATTCCATTATTAGAGTTTGTAACATCAAGCTTACCCTGTGACCTTCATGTCTAATCTGAAAACTGTATAATTTTAACATATATATTTTAAACATTGGTATATTTTACTATATAGCCTTACTTGCTGAAACACAAAAAATGTTTCTTTTTCTTTTACTGACTGAATTCTTGTTATATTTTGAGATTTTACCACTTTATTATTGTAAAAGAGTGAACCAAGTATCCTCTGCAGAATGCCAATACTACCTAAACTATACAAATCTAGGTCTCGAGGAACTGTAGTGAACTGTTAATACACACTGGAGGATGTCCAACCTTAGTAATTCTACCCATTCCTGTTGCAAATTAAACATTTGGAAATACTCCAATCACAGTTGTATTACGGAAAACGGCTGGGACAGAAGTGCTGATGGAAAGTTGCCAAGAGCTTTTGTGTGCCAGCTCTGGTGTAAAGGGGTCAAAAAGGACAATCAGCTGTAGCTTTGAGGCAATACCTGATATAATATAATCGTAATTCAGATCTTTTTAGTTTGTGCCCAAATATAACTAGTCCCTCCAAGCCAGCATGAACACATTGCTCTTAATATTAAGAATTCCAATAGATTAAAATCTAATTATTGTTCTCTGAAACAGAAAGGACGTGTTTGCCACCGAGGATAATCATTATACCAGACCAACACATTTAACACAATATGTGCTAACATTTTGGAAATCAATAAATAATTAGGATACCAGTCAATGCCAAACAGGCACACTGAGACATCTGTTCTCAGTATGGCCACATTCCCAATCATAACTTTCTTTCTGGCAATTTGTTATTTACAGGGGCATGATGAATCAGCATTTTTTCCCTCTGTGCAGGACTTACCATTCTGTTTTCATAGCAACCTGTGCTGTTCTTCTACCAGTATCCAAAAACAGAGCTTAAAACATCAGTTAAAAACAAATGCAGATGAAGTAAAAGGGCCAAGCCTGTTGACTTAGCTGCGTGATAAACAACTGTGCCAAGAACAGGAACACAGTTTGCTATGCTTCACATCTCAGTGAAGTTCAAACCATTCAATCCGGAGCAAGAAAACTTGAGAAAAATAATGTATAGATGTATTTGAATGTCACAGTTTACTGAACATGCCAGGAGCTGACTTGCAGACAACTACAAAAACTGTGTGTTTTTTTCCCCACCCCTCAAATACCTGGTCACTGTCACATATGCCTTTGCAGTAAGGAACAGGCACACCTTCACCATGTCATCAATGAATCATGGAATGGGAAAGAATATCAAAGTCAATTAGTCCAACCCAATCTATACAGAAAAGCCACTTCTACAAGTTCCCTGACAGGTGATCACTCAGACTTGCAACCTCCTCTGAATCTTGCCAGGCAAAATAAATAATAGGGTTATAATAAAGTTGACTTGAAGGCATATAAGAGGAACAAAGCTACCTTCATCCTGCACCCTACTGAAAATTCAAAAGTATTTCAGTATATAAAAGTGCCTCACATCAAAATGAATGTTCAAATTTGCAAAATAAAGTGTGCTTCACATAACCAACTGTTCAGAGAATCCATCCCAAAATCAATAAAAATATTTTTTTAAATCCAATATTGGTGCAAGGATATTTTTTAATCCAAATGAATTCTAAAATATGGATGACAATAATGTCCCTATCCACAATGAAAGTTAAATCTATTGATAAGCAAGCAGACTATTGCATTTCAATGTGTTGTCAAAGGCTTTCATGGCTGGAATTGCTGGGTTGCTGTGAGTTTTTCATACTGTATGACCATGTTCCTTCAAGTAGCAATCTCTCCTGAAGTTTTGCCTACATCTGTGGAAAGCATCCTCAGACCTCTGAACAAACCTCTGAGGAAGCTTGCCACAGATGCAGGCAAAAGGTCAGAGGAGAATGCTACTGGAACATGGTCATACTGCCCAAAAAACTTACAGCAACCCTATTGCACTTCATATTCGCTCCAGCGTGTGAAGCCTCCCATAAATATGAAAAAAAAATGTTCCAGTATATTGCAGTAGTTGGGACAAAAACAGTCTAATGGCAAAAATCAATATATTTGTGGTTGGGGAAGTTCCCTGAAAGCATCCTGTATACAGAAAGAAAAGTGTAATTCGCATGTAGCTAAAATTGACAATACTATTTGAAACAGATGAGTGATAATGTTCTAGGAGAACTACATTGTAGATCTTCCTCTATGTACGTTTTGCAATACAGAAGTGGCTCTTGAGAATGAAAGTGTCCCATTATGATTAAAAACCTCTAACCAGTTATCAACCACTATATGCCAAGGTTGTCCACTCCACTGTCTAATACCTCATATCATCGGTTTAATGACATGACAAGAGTACAAATCCCAAATAATCCTATTAATTCTGCAACAGCTGTATTATCTCATGAGAGTTAAGTGAAATTTAAATAAAATCTGAGCTGGCTGTATAAACACGCAAATTGTTCTGCTCATTAACGCATGGGCTTTTTACATTATTTCTTGACAGAAAGAGCAAACACAGCACTAAAATGGTGACTAAAGTTAGTGGCTTGCATCCAGTGCAAAGAAACAGTCTGTGATTTAGGAAAGATTCCAGCTTGTATAAAGGAGAGGGAAAGCTAATTTCAGCCATTTCCATTTGCCCTATAGTCTTCCATTCCCTCTTCCACGGCCTTCTCAAAGGCCCCCTAATGTCCAAGAGCAGCTGGGCTGGAATGCTGAAAAGTTCTGTATTGATACGTTGCATTTATATGTTATGTGTGTTCTGTGGGCAAAATCAAATAAACATACTGAAATTTCCTTTAGTTGGACAATTAGCAGAAAATTAGGACAAGTAGCCTTATATAGAGTCACACCAAGGAGTTCAACTGTGTCACCATTTTTTACTCAATCACCAGCAGGTTTCCAGCTGCTCAGGCAAAAGGGTCTTTTGCAACTTTGTTATCTAAGGAGAGTAATTGGAGATGTCAGGAAATCAGGGATCTTTTCTGAACTAACACATCCCCAATATTGCCATTCAAATTTATACATATAAAAAGGTTTAATTTGATGTTCTACAAACTCATTTATATGGGATTTCCTATGACACACACACACACATGCCGCATTGTTTCCTTATTTCCATTGTAGACAGGTAGATTAGGTTATGAATGGTTACATACCTTGCATCCAGCATGTGCCCGGGTCTTCATTAATGGAGTTGTGGTGCACAGTTCTATAGCTTCTGGCTCATGGAATATTACAGCGGGGAGAGGCTCCTTCCGAAGAGTTAGGACATTTAGCTTAGTCTTCAGCATGGTCTGGAAGTGCTAAATGAAAATAAAAACAGAAAAATACTATTTATGTTGCTGTGGTTATTTGCTGTTGATGATGATGATGTGTTTGAATTCAGGCCAACGTGGAAGACAATATTTTCTTTCTATTTATTTAATATTTATTTATTTACAGTGTTTATATTCCGCTCATCCCACCCTGAAGGGGACTCAGAGCTAATCACAGAACACATATATGGTAAACATTCAATGCTGATTTTACAATGACAAGATAGACAACTTATACATAGAGGTATATAAAGGCTTTCCCTTCTTTCCCATCTATGGCTGCAAAAAACTAAAATAGGGTAATTTCAAATACACAAGCTGGATTGGGAGTTCAAAAACCTGCCTGTGGACTCTATCCCACAGGCAGAAGGAAAAAGGGAGAAAGCATCTTTAAGAATGGATATCTGACTTAACCGACTTCTAAAAATGGACTCCTCTCTCCATCTTCACACACTGGCAAGATGGATTTCAACAGGCTGCCACCAGAAGTGGCTGTGTGTCATGGAAGGCCTTCATTGGAATCCGCTTTGCCAGCATACAAAGATGGCAAAAAATGGGGGAAATTAGAGTAGGGCAAGGTTCCTTCTCTCTGGGTGCACCTATAATATAGAATTAACATGGTTTGACACCACGTTGACTATATCTACACTGCCATATAATACAGATTAACTGTATTGAACTGAATTATATGACAGTGTAGACTAATATGATCCAGTTCAATGCAGTTAGTAAGCATTCTGAAACTGGATTATATGGAAGTATGGATCCAGCCTGTAACTCTCATGGCCAAATGCTATGGAGTTTTGGAAGCTGTAGCTTTGCAAAGTTTTAACATTCTCTGCAAAATGTTGCTGGTATACCATCAAACTGCAACCCCCAGAATTCCGTAACATCGGCCATGACAGTTAAAGTGGTTTCAAACTGTATTATTTTGGTTGGTTGCATGCTGCAAGTCAATTGTGGTGATTTGCTATTCTGCTGCTGAATGTGCATGCCCAGTGTGGAATACATCTCACCACATTAAAGCAGTAGGCATGCCACGTTATCACAGGATGTCTACGCCACACACCACTGGAAAAATTATACTGTTTAGCCGATATTGCACCCCCTGACATCCACCAGGAAGTAGCATCCAATAATGAAAGGACCAAGGCATTTCCGGCCCATCCCCTGTTCAGATATCAGCCAGCATGCCAATGCTTTAAATCAAGAAACAGCATTCTAAGATCTACAGAGATACACGCAGGAACACCTCAGCAAGTGAGAGTCCAAAAGTGGCAGGCTAAAATCCAGAACCTCAAGCCATGGCTGATACCAAATGAGAGACTCCCTCCTGGGCACAGAGAAGACTGGGCAACTTGGAAGGTGCTAAACAGATTGTGCTCTGGCACCACAAGACGCAGAGCCAGCCTTAAGAAATGGGGCTACAAAGAGGAGTCCATGACATGCGAGTGTGGAGGAGAGTAAACAACAGACCACCGACTACAATGCAACCTGAGCCCTGCGCTTGCACAAGGAAGGACCTTCTCAGAGTGACACCAGATGCGCTCCAAGTGACCAGGTACTGGTCAAAGGACATTTAGTAAAATGCCAAGTTTTTTTACTTTGTTTGTGTTTCAAATATATTAACTAGCTTCTGACATGATAAATAAATAAATAGCTGCATTAATCCAACAGTTTGGCTATGCCATGATCATTTTTAATTGCAAAATTTATAATCAATGAATGAGTGGAAGGAAGGACGGAAAGAAGGGAGGGAGGGCAAAAAAAATAACACTGGCATAGTGAAAAGCCCTGCCATCAGAATTATGCTGAATCTCTTGGTCTGATGATAGCATCCAGATGCAGTCAGAACAGCATAACCATCACACAGCCAAGTGAGTGCCTCCAGCAACACTCACCACCCCTTCAAATAAAAAATAACAAACGGCCATTTCAACTTGCCAGGGAAAGGAGAGGAATGCAGTGGAATAGGCATGATACTTGTGAAAGGGGGCATGATACATCTCCATGCATAAGAGAGTACCACTATTAGATTCTGATCACTATATAAAGATCTATGGGGCATTATGAATAATTATATGGATGATTGGTTCCAAATCTGATCTGATGCATGTGGAAGGTCCTTGAGTCCCCTAAAAGTACAGCCCTCTTTTCCAACAATCCCACTGTCAACTTGCACATCATTTATTTATTAAGGTAAAGGTAAAGGCTTCCCCTTGACATTAAGTCTAGTCGTGTCTGACTCTGGGAGATGGTGCTCATCTCCATTTCTAAGCTGAAGAGCCAGTGTTGTCCGTAGTCACCTCCTAGGTCATGTAACCATCATGACTGCATGGAGCGCCATTACCTTCCCACTGAAGCAATACCAATTGATCGACTCACATTTTGCATGTTTTCAAACTGCTAGGGTGCCAGTAGCTGGCGCTAACAACAGGACCTCCCCATGCTCCCCAGATTCAAACCGCCAACCTTTCAGTCAGCAAGTTCAGCAGCTCAGCGGTTTAACCCACTGCACCACTGGGGCCCCTACATTATATTCCTATATTGCCTTTAAAAACTCTGGTAGTTAAAATAAACTAGAAAACTACTTCCAAGTTTAGTTCAAAAACCTTATTATAGTGCAATATTAGAGTATCAAGAGTAACTCCGTTTTTACAGATTCAGACAGCTTAATGTGGATCCAATAAAAACATTGCTTTTAGTAACATTTTGCTAACTGGCAGGCTACATTAAATCATCATGTCAAACTTGTTTTTCCAATACATTGCAACACTCTTTCTGGCAATTGATATTGTAACAAACTGAGAAGTGAGTTTGTACATTTTTTTTCCTAACCTGGCCTTTAACCATTGTTTAACAAAAAATGTGGCTCTGTTGCAGCATCTGTTTCTATTATGACTTCCATACTTAAAACCTTTCCTTCCCTGGTTCTCACACTAGCATTGCAAAAACATATATTCCACCCAGCACCTCAAAGAGTTACCTGTTACATTATGAAACATGCTTTTTAATCTTGAGAGAGTAAAACAGCATTTAATTGGATGAGAAACTGCTGCAATTTCACTAATGAAGTTCCATTTTATATAGTGAAACTTCTGTTCAAATCCACGACCAATTTCCTTTTACTTTTATCATAACATAAGATTTCCATTAAGATGTTATACATTTTTGAGAACACCCTTCTATGAATACAAATGTTCAAGTTTCGTTAAGGCTTCTTGTAACTTGAACATCTCTGTGGTTTTCCAATTTAGAAGCTTGAGAAGCGATCCAGATTGGATTTCTTAAACAAAAATATGGTAAGGGAACTGGATAGTCCAGATCTCTTCTTCAGGACAATTTATGTTTCAGTCTGAATTGAATAACAAATGGAATAATATAGCTCCTTGGTTACACACAACAGCCACATATTGAAAAATGTATCCCTACATTCACATTTAATATCACTTAATTAGCAATGAAGGGTTTATGACCTCAAAATAATCTGGAAATCATTCTAGAACAGTGGTTCTCAACCTTCCGAATGCCACAACCCCTTAATACAGTTCCTCATGTTATGGTGACCCCCAAGTATAAAAGTATTTTTGTTGCTACTCCATAACTGTAATTTTGCTGCTGTTATGGATAGAGATGTAAATATCTGATATGCAAGATGTATTTTCATTCACTGGACCAAATTTGGCACAAATACCAATATGCCCAAATCTGAATATTGCTGGACTTTGCCCATGGGGGGGGGGGCTGATTTTATCATTTGGAAGTTGTAATTGCTGGGATTTATAGCTTACCTACAATCAAATAGCATTCTGAACTCCATCAACAACTACCATGACCAACAGAAAATACTGGAAGGGTTTGGTGGGCACTGACCTTGAGTTTTGGAGTTGTTGTTCACCTACATCCAGAGAGCACTGTGGACTCAAACAATGATGGATCTGGACCAAACCGAAATATGCCCAAATTTGAACACTAGTGGAGTTTGGGGAAAACAGACCTTGACATTTGGGAGTTGTAATTGCTGGGATTTATAGTTCATCTACAATCAAAGAGCATTCTGAACCCTACCAACAACAGAATTGAACTAAACTTCCCACACAGGACCTCCACAACCAACAGAAAATCCTGTGTTTTCTGATGGTCTTTGGCAATCCCTCTGACACCTCCTCATGACCCCCTAGGAGTCCCAACCCTCAGTTTGAGAAATGCTGCTCTAGAAGAACTCTAAACAGCAACAACCATGCAGATTGTATTGCCTTGGGACTTCTTTACAGGACACAAAATCCCAGAAGCAAGTATGAGTATAATGAAATTAATAGTTAAGGTATTACACTAGGACTTTGATTTAAGTTTCTTTCAGTTTTCATGAAAAAAATAGATGGTCATATACATTATCTTAAGCTCATTAAGGGGGGGGGGGTGTTAGCTAGAAGCATGCTTAATAGATAAAACAAAAAATGTGTTCTAGATTATCACCTAATCTTATCCATGAGCCTCAATATTCAACCACATCCATAATAACTATATTAAATATGCAGAGATTTTTCCAAACCCAAAGGCTAAGGCAGATGTCAAAAGTACATTTGTACATATCTGGGTCAGGAGGGAAGGGTGAATGTAATTTTGACTTTGCAGATGAGCCTCCATTTTTAATGTATCATCCATATTTATTTATTTATTTATTTACTTCATTTATACCCCTCCTTTCTCCCCTTCAGGGGACTCAAAGCAACTTACAACTCCGGTACAATTCAATACTGGTAAAATCAACAGTAAAAACAATAACATACCTCTTCCATTAAAACAGTTAATAATTAGTCATTCAACACATTAAAACAGGAAACATATTAAAACATAGTTCCATTTGTCCAAGATCCTTGTTCATAACCCATATTCAAACCGTATCGAAGCCCATAGCACTTATTCTTCGGATGCGTGTGTGCAAACCCATATTTTATTATATGTGAGGCATTGAATTTTTAACATTT